CCCGCAACGACAGCAAAAAAAAAAACGCGCCCCCAGGGACGAGCAAACAAAAAAACGCGCCCCCGCAACGACAGCAAAAAAATAAACGCGCCCCCGCAACGACAGCAAACAAATGAACGCGCCCCCCGGGACGACAGCAAACAAAATAGACGCGCCCCTGCAACGACCCTGCAACGACAGCAAAAAACTAAACGCGCCCAGGCAACGACAGCAAAAAGGCCACGACAGCAAGCAACAAAAAAGCACTCTTACCCTCAGGCAACATCTCACTTTTGGCCGGCTGATTGGCTATCGGCTGATCGGTGTAGCAGGGTTTTGGGCCCAAAAAGTCACGCACACTGTAACTTTGTAAAGACAATCGTGGGCCTACTCGTAGTAACGTAGTCAGGCCTTCAGTGCTCTGGGGCACATTTTATGCGGGCACGGGCTGCCGAACTTCTGACCTCATGACAGTGTACAAGTGCCTTCACTGCAGCGGCATAGGAGCAAAACGGGTGCACGCAGGCCTGCTGATGTTTTCTCGGGCTGAAGTAGCCAGAGATTGGTGAAGCAAGTCCCTGAGGTTGGCGGCCCTGCATTCCTGCAGCTCAAGCCAATGACCATAGTAGGTTTCAGAGTTTCTTGGGCGTGAGCCCATCCGTTCCAATGAAGTCTTTATGGCTTGCCTCCTTGGCCATCTGGTCCCTAACTCAGAGTGACATGTTTCCTTGGCCCGTCGCAGCGTGATTCTGAGTGCTGAGAATTGACTGACTACAGGGTGCTTAATCCGGTGGTCGCAAAGAAATTTGGGAAAGAGGCGCGTGGTTCCCATGATGGGCTCTGCCTAGCGCATCTGAGCATTTCACAGCATTTCCTGGCCAGGATCCGAGAGGCTTGCAGCTGGCACTCCTGGAGCGCGCGGAGGGCGATGCGCGGGCTTCCTCGAACTTCTCGGAGGAGGCCTTGGATGCCGTGGTCTCGGCGAAAGCCCTGGAAGCCGTCGGAGACGCCTTCAGTGATGCAGGCAATGCTTTGGGTGGTGTGGTCGAGACGGCTGGCAACTCTATTGCCACAGCTGCTGTTCAGACCGTGAATACCCTTACGGAAGCAGGCATGACACTTGGCAGTGCGGTGGCCAATGCGGCCGTCGTGGTCGGGAAACATATTGTCAAAGCAGCAGAAACCCAACTTGCAGCCCTTCCAGCTGCCATCAAGACTGTGGCCGAGGATATTGGGAAAGCAGCGGTGCAGGTTGGAAGCGTGGTGGCGGATGTGGGGGAGCTTGCTGCGGATGCCACTCTTCACTTAGCAGGGGACATCCTTCAAAGGGCCCAGAGTTCCATCCAACAAGGCGCGAAGCGGGCTTTCGAAGCACTGAAGTTGCTCAACTTGAACTTAAGGAGAGGTCCTGATTTTGCAGTAAGTAAAGCACAGCGACTCAGCTACCTGGACAGGAGTGAAGCTGGCCGAGAAAGTGGGGAAGTTCATTGCAGATAAAGCAGTAGCTTTGGGGGGCGAAGTGGCCAAATTGGGACCTTTGGTTGCAGGATTGGCGGAAGCTGCTTGGAACGAGATCAAGGGCTTCTTGAGCTGCTTCACTGAGTCCTTGACCTTGTGCCATGTTCTCCTTGGCGGCCAGTGCGATTGCAATGCTGGCTCCCACGTTACTCCCAACGCATCCGGGTTCTCCATGAGATGTGTCTTTGATTCATCCTCGGATTTTGCATCGGGCTTCGGTATCCGGGCCGTGCCTGCCCAGAAATTTCCCGGAAGAACTGCCAAGGGCACTGTGATTTTACCAGGAGACGAGTACGTGCAGGCGTACAAGATGGCAGGCCAAATCATGAGGTCTCGGCAGGCTCTGAAAGAAAGGAAGGCGAAGGCGCCCATAGGCTCTTGTGAAAGTGCCCTGGACCTGGCCTTTGAGGGTGCGGCTCAGTTTGCACCGGACATCTCCATCAGCATGAGCTTCAATGGTGACACGGAGATTAGCATCAAGGGCCTCATCCGTGCCTCCATCGATGCCTTGGTCTCCGCCCAGGGCTCTTGCGCCTTCCACGCCGAGAAGGGCATTCCCAGACTTCCCAAGAGCAAGGCCGGGCATGGCCGGGCCCCCCACGTGTCTGTTGGGAGCCGCCTGCTCAGGTGATCTGCGGGGCCTACTTCTGCTTGGCGATCATGCTCCAAGGCGCTGAGAGCTTCCTGCGGTTCTGCTCCTTCTTGCTTTCTTGCTTCTCCTTTTCAGCCGATCTGTCGCGGTCCTGCGCTTGAAGTTGCTATTATCCTCAAACTGGATTGCGCATGCACTCCCTGGATGGAGATGAGTGAGTCTGTCCAAGCACAGAAACGAAGAGGAGAGAAGGATGCGTGGAAAGAGCAACATGAACCAACGACAACAAAAACAGCAGCAAACCCTTGCCATCACAAGGGACAATGCCTGGGGACGTGCCACAGTCCCAAACGCGAAAGGACAGACCAGAAAAACACCGGAAGCTCGTTCGCTTGCCAAGCTTGTAGATCGAGTGGTTGTCCCAACCCTGTAAAAAGCATGATGTTCTTGGTCAATTTGTCATGTTGTTTAGTCTAAATCGAGTCGAGCACAGTGATGTTCATATACCCAAGTGGTAAGCATGTTAAGCAAGTCCACATTACTCGAAGGTTCTTACGAGGTGTTTGCACACGGATCGCTTCACAGTCAAGAGACGTCACAAGGTCTCGGTCTTTTTTGTAAACCGAGATTGCCAATCAAGGGCTCCTTAGTGCTGATCGATACAAGGAGGAACAGGAAGCGATGCTGCAAGAGAGACCAGCTTGTCAGACGTGCTCACTAAGTGCATCGCCACTCTGTCAGTCGTCGCGGAGCTCGACATCAAAGGCATGCTCACGGGCACGCTCGAGATCTCGGCTGATGTGGACTTTGAGATTGAAGGTACTGTGACGGTCAATCCTTCGGGCGAGGCGAAGGCAAATTTCCGGAACCCCTCGATCAAGCACCAGGCACGGCTGCTGATGAAAATGACCATGACCTCATCAAAGCATTAGCTGCAGAGCGTGAGGAGAGACGTCAGAAGCATGGAAAAGCAAGGGCGGAATCTTCGCTTCTAGAAAAATCCAATCACTAGTAGCAGAGAATAAACAGCTGGACGGCTATGCGATCCTACGTGAGTTCTCGAAGAGAAATTTCTGGCTATGGCTCGAGGACGGCTTTGCCATTGGCGCAAGTGCGTCCTCGTCCGTACGTGTCGGGATGGGCCCGGTCCTCACAGCTGCTCGTCAAAAACACATACAGCTTGGTGAAGTGTGCCTTATCGTGCATAAGTGTATACTGACCGCAGTTTACAGGGTCTCCCTTCAACCAGAAAGTGCAGCTCAGGTGTGGCCGGTTCCGGGGATTCCCATCAACTTCCATGCCATGATTAATGCCGAAGCCAAAGCTATGGGCACTTTGAGCTTCAGCTCGGGCATGTTCTTGCTCCAAGAGGAGTCTCACCATTCGACTGGCACGGACATGAACGCAAGCTCAACGAGGTCCAATGAGATCGGAATGTGCGGTGCAGCCGTCCCTAGCCCACGAGTTAGCAGCGCACCACAGCTCGCTTGAATTCAGGAATCAGGAGCCTTCATAGGGTTGTAGGGTTTCCTTGGCTGCCCGAGGCCTTGAGCACATACGCTGACGTAGACATCACAAGCTTCGCGCTGCCGTCCTCCTTCAGGGCGGCGATTTCTACTTCATTCTTGATGGATCAAATTACGGCCGCTGTCATTGCTGGTGCCACAGCAATGACAAGATTGGTCACCGGTGCAATGGCTTGCATCCCAGGTGGGGATGCAGTCGAGAACACGATCATGTCGGCTGCCAACACTGCGGCCTCCGCCATCGCGGGCCTCATCCCAGATCTGGATCTCGACTTCTCAGTGGAGTCCATCCAGCTCATGGCCCCTCAGAAGCTTTGGTGCAAGGAAGTCTTCAAGACCCCAGGTTTCGACGCCGCTCCCTCAATCTTCCAAGAGTCATGCAGAGTTGCCTTCGGCCTCAAGAAGCCCTGGCCCTGAATCAAGCCAGGCTGCTCCCTGCGCAGCAGAGATCGGTTGCAAGTTTGCCGGCAGACCACCGCCACGTGGCCAGTTCCAAGGAGCACAGCTGGTAATGACTTTTTCCCGGTCTGTTCGCAAAACAGAAAAAGTTCTAAAGCGGTGCCAGCGCCAATGACCCAGGTGGAGTTGAGATGGCACCTCCAGAGCAGGCCCGGAGCCCGGTTCACGCATGCTGCTTGCATGCAGATGCGCGCCTGTGCACGCCGCCTCCGGGTCCGGACTGCTGGGGTGAGAAACGAAGGCCCTCTAACTGGCCGGATCCCAACCCCCAACAGTGAGCATCATGTGCATCCAGTTGGGATTGTGGGTGGTCCTTAAACGCGGCATCGGGAAGCTTTGCCGAAGTACAGCTTTGTGGAAAGGGTTTTAAGATCAGATGTTCTGCTGCAGGTCATATTGTCCAATTAAGTCGTTGCTTGAATTTAAGTTGTTGTCGTGGTTTTGTTATCTTGCCCAGTATTTTTGTTGTCATGCCCATTGTGTTGTCGTCTCTAGATTATCTTGCTAAATCGTTTTTGTTGTCGGTCTGTATGGACAGTAATTACATACACAGAATGCACATGGACAGCATGGATATATGTTTATAACTTGTTTATACGACTTATATTTATACATATATAGATATATATATATATATATTGGGTTTATATGCATGTACACACAAGTGATAAGGACGTGTGTGATCATTCAACCTCCGCTTGCGGAGAGAGGCCATCGGGGATCCTAGCAAGCCAAAGGGGGCAGGGCTGCTGTCCGAAAGCGGGGGAGGAGAACTGGAAGGTCGTCGAAGCACCGCCTGCGTGATTCAGGAACAAACTGCTCAAATCATTTTCCGCTTGGAAGCCACATCGCAACTCATCACCCACGACTGTCAGAACGAATACAGGCAACCGCGATAACGACAATTGCAACAACAAGGTGTTGCGCACACAGCATCACTTACCAGAGCATCTATGCCATCCGTAAAGCGATTGAAACAGCCCTGTGTTTCAATATGACCAGGCAGGCAGCCCTCGCAAATACTCGCACAAGCCCTTCTTTCTTTTGTTGGAATGCTTAGCACCATTCGGGAACGCTGTGTGACACTACACAGTCCAAGTTTGAACAGCATACTGTGAGTAGTGAGTTTGAGCGAGAGCTTGCAAGTGGTACCGTGGTGTTTGTTGCGCACGGTGTGTATGCGTTAGTCTATGCTTGTTTTCACCACAAAATATTCGCGACCCCGTCCCCGTCCCCACCCTATTCCCTTCGCGCAGAAGTGGTGTTGTTTGAATGCGGGCGAGGCAGCGATCGAGAGATGTTGATGGTGCCATTTTTGACTTGGGAGACTTGCCTGCTGAACACCAAACTTCAAGTCAAGAAGCCTACATTCCCAACACCATAAGTCCATGCAAGACGCTCGAAGGCTAATCCGTTCTTCACATGTGGTGACTGGTATTCCACAGCACCCTTTTCGCACTTGGCGTGCGCAGAAGCATCGCTGTTGAGCACGGAGCGCATCGAAGTAATGGGCCTTGCTGAGCACTGAAGATGTCTGGAATGCCAGCAAGGAAGCAGGGAAAGTGCGAGTCTCAGTTGAAGCCTTGATGTCCGTTGCGTGCACCAGTATGCACCCGCATACACTGTGCTCGCAGCAGTACTTCATGGAATCGCAAGCCGTTCACGGTCACAGTGGCTGTTGAACAAGCATAAACCCCGGACCGTGGTCCATGATACATGAATCGGGTCCCCAAGCAGGTCACAAACCATGTCGAATCGGATGGGGCGGCAGCAGCCTGCCATGATATTCCGATGGGCGATCGGTTCATTGAGCTTGGGCGCTTTCGCTTGGCGGACATTGACGGCAACCACTTCTCGATCTCGCACGAGGAAATGCCTCCGATTTTGAGCTCATAAGCATAGGCCAAAGATCAGCAACTTTCACGTACACTTGTTGCTACTACGACTTCTACTGCTACGACGACGACGACGACGACGACGACGACTACTATTACTACCACTGCGACTTTGTAGAACTTGGCAAAGCGAATCGCTCTTCGATTCTGCTTTGAGAGGAAGGCCCGACGACGATTCAGATCTTCAGGAACGATGGCACCTTGCACGGAGGCCCGAGGAGCGATTATAGCCCCTGGACGAGGCCCGCGGGGCGAAAAAAAAAGGCTCTTCCTAGGTTCCCTTTGTACCCCACTCGCAATGAGGATATGCTGTATAGACTGCGAAGACTACATAGCAGACTTTCTCCCATAGCTCCTGGCTCTTATCTCTGTCTTGTTGCAACGAAACATGCTGGCTAAGGGAGGTTGGGGCCTCGAAGGGCATCCATTTTGGTTTCCAGTACATCCAGATTGGGAACTTCCGTCTGGGTGCTTACGACGACACGCATTTGACGATTTCGCTTGGCCCTTAGCTCCGAGCCCCAGTATACTACAGTATAGTCTGCATATGTCTGCATAGTAAGTAGTTCGACTGTTCTCGGCAGTTCTGCCACGTCGGTATTGTCAGTTTTGCTCTTTGATGTTGCGGACTGAGTTTGTGTTTGCCCCCAGTCTTCTTCAACCGCGGTTTCAGGTCCCACCCGCCTCACCGACATCCACCCACAGCACACAACCCACCCGTACCAGACACAACCTAATTACACCCAAACCACCCAGGTCACCGATGCCCTCACAACCTCCCCACTAGCACCACTTTGAGACCTGCACCACGCACTCACAGTCACACACGCCACAAGACCCTCACCGCCAACGCCCCAGTGTGCAAGAAGTTGGCACTCGCACGTCGGAGGGAGCTTCTTCTATGTGACAGCGAAACGTAGGGCGACCCGACAACATAACAAGCGAACATGGACGGCAAAAAAGCAACGGCGTCCAGTCAGTAGGCAGCTTTGGGTCATAAATGCAAGCCGGTACGGTATATTTATGGAACAAGCATCCAGCATGAGACAGAGCACTGTCAGCATGAGACGATAATATGTGGAGACTGGCTCGAGGCACGTTGATGGCAAGACTGCTCAAGTTTTCCGAAGTGACGGTACATTGCATCCCGGACCCCGGGACGACTTTTGGCAGAGCTTAGAGGTTTTGATTTGGAGTGGTGTCCAAGCACAAGCTTGTCCTGTGTAGCTTTGATTCCGGTGCCTCTACTGGGCTCTACTGCTTTGTTTCATCCCCAGAGTAGGGTTTCAAACGCCTCGACAAAGGACTTTTCAACCTTCGATCGTGCGGAGGGCGTGCCAGCTGGCATCAGCTTCGGGGATAGGCATCCGGCGTGGCTCCAAGTTCATTGAGATCAGACTCTTTCGCCTGTGCCAACTGGTCAGGTTCATTCAGCTCGGCAGGTTCCGGATTGGAGATTCCGATGGCAACAATCTGGTGGTGACCCACCCTGAGACCCATGTTATTCAGATGTATCGCCACGACGGTACAAGGTGAGGGCTGTTTCTGTTTGGCTGGAGGTGTTCTGTCAGCCATCCCAAACAAATCTTGGCTGTCGTATTTCCGGGTAGAGGCAGGCGAAGTCCGAGTCTAAGGCAAGGGCAGGGGGCCCAGGTGAAAACCAGACCGCATGCCATGGAGTCAAGAAGAGAATTGGTATTCAGGTCATGATGGGTGCATTGATCTGAACTTGAGCTCCTAGCTTGCCATGCCTGGCATGTGTCGACATCTTGCCAGGCATAAGACACTCCTCCAGATCTTGCCAAAACTACCTCAGATACCTCGGAAAAGGAAGCTTGGCAAACGCCTGCGCAGAGCTCGCGCTATAAACAACTTGGGCAAACAGGTGAGACAGGGTTGAGACAAAATGGGACTTTAGGTGCACAGCAGCATGTGCTGAGAGTGCGAGACTGGCCCTGGCAGGTGAAGGAGCGGAGCCCTGCTGCGTGGACCTGCCACGACATTGCCGAGATGGCCTTCGGGGCCCCTCCGCTTCCCATTCCTTTCAGATGCACTTTCTTGTGTTTATGCTGTTCAGCGGTTTCCTTCTGGTGGCAGCAGACACAGGTTTGCGATCCAGATTTTGGAGCTTGGGGGGATCGCTTTATCCAGCTTGGCGAGTGGCGGCTGGCGGCTATCGACGACACTCACTTCTCCATTTCGCACAAAGACGGCCAGACTGCCCAAATCTATCGCAGCGATGGCTCTTTGCATCCTGGACCACGTACAGATTACGGGGCCTGGCACAGAGCGCTGGGTTTTCCCTTTGGCATCACCTTTGGGCCCGGCTTCATCCAGATCGGCAAGTTCCGACTGGGAGCAGCCAACGACGAGCACTTCTCCATCTCTCACCGCGATGGCAATACCATACAGATCTTCCGCGATGTCACTCGAAGTGCAAGCGCAGTCTCTGTGTGTTCCTAGTGCGGGTAGTCTGGGGGGTATCCGAAACTGCGACTGAGGACGGAACCCGCCACACTGGACCGAGACAAGATTGGGGCCTGTGGGGGATTACCGCTGGACCAGCATCTGGTGTCACATTCGGGGACAGGTGGGCTTCTTACTCATAAGAGTCTCATAAGCATGGGGCATGCTGTCAATGCCGCCTGGTTTGAGGGGGGCATAGAGGCATGAGCTAGACAGCTAGGCTTTGCCTTGACAGCCACCGTCCTAGACACAAGCGGGGCCGGGTTGAACAAGGAGCTGTTTCACAACTGGGCCGGGGGAGGAACATGGATTGCTTCCACCGCCGTTGTGAATCGTCTCAGCAGAGCGAGCGACAGGATAAAGTACGGTGACGCTTTTTAAATAT